GAATTCTAATATGTACCATATTTAACAGTGTATAAAGCGCATCTCTTAATACGAATATGACATCCCGAAGGCTTTCTCCAGTACTCTTTGCTGTAGGATAATATTTTATCTCAAAAGGTCAGTTCTACGAGCTCGACTCTTTAATGTTATTTGCTAAGAATAAAAATTATTATTCATATTTGTTATATTCCGTGTTAATAGCAATATACACTTGACAAACACGGTGGATAAAATAAGTAAATGTTTATTGTACAAAACCAGTACAATAAGAATAAAGGTAACAGTTATTCACAAGGTCGTCGCAAGTCAATCCAGTAGTGAGTGCTACTATTGGAAGGTTGGTAGTTCGTGCGTAAGTCTGAGTCGTACTCAACAGATCCCAGCAAGTGATATTTACCAACCTCCCCACGAGGTAGGATGTGGCACAAGGCCGAATTTAATGTGGGGCAATCCGAGCCCGTAGGCTAGACCAAAAATTCCCCGTAAACCTCGCATAAACGGGTTCGGGTCTGTCTACCTCCCCAGACGAGACTCTGCCCTTCGTCATAGCCTCGTCCGGGTTCTTCTTCGCCCGAAGGCAGAAAGTTTGATAACAGCTAAGAGCTGAATAACAAATCCTAGCAAGTCAATATTTACTAAACACGAGGGAAAGATGTGGCACAAGGCCGAGTTTTATGTGGGTTTTCCGAGCCCGTAGGCTCGGCCAAAAAATGCCCGTAGAAACTGTAAAAACAGAATCGGGTTGGTCCACCTCCCCGAAAGAAACTATGTCCTTCGGCAGAGCCTAGTCCGGGTTCGTCTCTGCCCGAAGGGAGACAGTTCGACCGTCTTGCTGGAACAGATTTCAGCAAGTCTCTGTAGTCCGTTGGCTTACAGATACTTATAGGTATTTACTACGTGTAGTGTAGTCACTCATGGGGCTGACAGGTTACTCATTTACATCAATATTATTGTTAGAAATACCCGTGAAAATGTCACGGTTTCCGTTATGAATTTTATGATAAATCTTAATTCTTAATGTACTCATTGAATAAAAACATGGCGAGTTCTACGACAAAAAATATCCATAAAAGTTCCACTATGGTATCGTTGAATATTTTAGCTTAATTTTAATAAAATATATCTGTAATCAAGTTACAAGATTAATGATGACTTTACGATAAAACTAAATTTTTGGACCGCAAGAAATCTTTGAGTGCAAGTTCTATATCTCCTTTGAAACGGAATGTCTTTTTTCCCCGAAAATTTTCAAGATGCTAGAAAAAGTGGTAGTCAGTGGGCGACAGATTAAGGGAATATGATGGTTGTGGCGAAGTCACGTATTCCAAGGCGGCGAGCTTCTCTTGTGTCTTCCTAGTAACATGGAGACGAGCATATTCAAGAAGCAGAATGGAACCACCCATTTTGCTTAAATGAATGCGTGTTTCATCCACTTGCTGTCAGTGATGATCTCGTTAGATTCCAGAAAGCTGTAAGGTATTACGCAAATAGTTCTTTCGAAAATAGGATATTTTACATACAACCTAATAACATTTATATAAAATTAAAATTTGTAATCAGATTAAATAAAAAGTCTGTCACTGGTTTAAAAATAATTAAACTCAAAGAAGAACCCTCTAAGCATGAAAAAGAAATTATTTAAAATGTGTAAGGTTCCTGAAAATATGAGCATGTGCCTGTCTATATTTCTGAGATAAGGTATTATTATGTACACTATTTACATTATTCGGACTATTGTCCTTATCTTTGTTGCCATATTTATTACAACGTTTCGGCCCTTCAGTATCTGTCTATATTTCTGAGATGAGGTATTATGTACACTATTTACATTATTCGGACTATTGTCCTCATCTTTGTTGCCATATTTATTACAACGTTTCGGCCCTTCAGTATCTGTCTATATTTCTGGGATGAGGTATTATGTACACTATTTATATTATTCGGACTATTGTCCTGATCTGTGTTGCCATATTTATTACAACGTTTCGGCCCTTCAGTATCTGTCTATATTTCTGAGATGAGGTATTATGTACACTATTTACATTATTCGGACTATTGTCCTCATCTTTGTTGCCATATTTATTACAACGTTTCGGCCCTTCAGTATCTGTCTATATTTCTGGGATGAGGTATTATGTACACTATTTATATTATTCGGACTATTGTCCTGATCTGTGTTGCCATATTTATTACAACGTTTCGGCCCTTCAGTATCTGTCTATATTTCTGAGGTGAGGTATTATGTACACTATTTACATTATTCGGACTATTGCCCCCATCTTTGTCGCCATATTTATCACAACGTTTCGGCCGTTGTACGCTCCGGCCTTCATCAGGTGTTTGGAATGTCGAACTTAACCCTTTATTTCGCTCACTGGGGTAGACTGTTCTAGTTTCAAGTGCCATGTTTAATGGATGTCAGTTATCAGTCATCTCCTGTTAATTTCCCTCTGAACGTTCTCCACTGCCTTAACCGGGTCTTGAACTCACACTCTTTGGG